CCCAGCCATTCTTTTCCCTGCCTCAGGTAAATTTGCCCCCCCCCCCACCCACACACAAGTCGATTGTCTCGTGTCCTCCGGGGTTTTTGAGCTTGCGTCTCTCCTTCGCCACGTCTAGCATCCAGCCAGCCGCAACGCCATGGAGCCCTACGAGGAGGACGCGCAGGAGAAGGCAGACGTCGACGGCAAGGAGCCCCTGTTGATTCAGCGGCTGCGGCGCCTCAGCTTCGCGGCCTTCGGTCACATCCGCGAGTTCGCCAACCCCGTGGAACTCCACGAGGTCTCGCAGGACGCCTACGCGCTGGCGCTGCAGCCGCTGCTCATCCGACTGCGCATCCTCGGCCCAGACCACCCCGACACCGCGTACTTCCTTCGGTAGGTTGGACTTTTTGTCTGTGTGTGTGTGTTTAACTCGGCGTTGTTCAGCTATCGCGGCGCCACGCATGCCGACAACGGAGCCATGTCCCAGTGCCTGGGGTTCTGGCGCTACGCTGTCCAATTGCAGCGCGTCTTCCTCGAGCCGCTGTGCTTCATCGCGCAGTCAGCGTTCCTCGGCTTCGCGGAGCTATTCAACGTCATCCTCTCCAACCGCTACTCCGGTCTGCGTGCCGTCCACCTCCAGCCCCGTCTCATCCTCGAGTGCATTGACGCCATCATCGACAATATTGAGAGGTACGTGGAGCGTGAGGCGTTGCGCATGGAGTTATCTCCCTCTCCTCTACGTGTTGTACAATCTTTAGGGGTATGGATTACTCCTACGAGGTGTGGAACAAGCGGAAGCCGTGGTCGTACTCCACCGCGGACAAGGAGGCGACCAACTTCCACCGACAGATCCGTGCGTGTCTGCATTTCATCTCACTCACCATCTTCTACTTCTGCTCGCCGAAGGCGGATCCGCCACCGCAGCTTCACTCGGCGCGAGTCGCTGGTCTTCGGAGGGAGGTCTACCGGCCGGAGGCGCGACCGCCCTTCTCCGGTGCCTACCCCACCGTCCAGATGGACGACGCGGGCCCCCTGGGCATCTTCATACCCTCCAGATCGGAGCACGCGGAGATGCGGGCGATGATGACACCGCGCCTGCTTGATCGGTTCTACCGACAGGTGAACCGCCTGGTGCGGCTCAATCCGCGTGTTCGCGACGGTCAAACTCTCGTCCACTTGGCCTGCTCCTCCACCAAGGTGGTGCGCTGCGACCTCTTTCCGCTGCCGCACGCCGATCTCATCCGTCTGCTGTGCTACCTGGGCGCCGATCCAGATGCCATCGACGCCAACGGCTACCGACCCATCGGCACGATCCTTGCTTCGCGCTCCCTCCAGGACAACGTCAAGGCCGAGATCATCGCCACCCTGGTGAGAGACTGTGGCGCGCACTACGACGCCTCCGTGATGCCGCCGACTTGGTTGCAGACAAGCCGAGAAGGCGACACAGACTCCGCGGATGTGAAGGCGCTGCGGTGGCCGTGGGGCGCAGCATGTCAGACGGTCGTGTCGCTGTCTGGCCTGCGCCCCGCGGCGCTGGTGTCACTCAAGTGTCTCGCAACCCACGCGCTGCCTCCGGCCGCTCGAAACTGCCCAACTCTCTTTCCTGAAGCGCTGTTGACCTTCGTGCGTCTTCATCACCACTTAGCGTGATTTACTTTCTCTGCTGCCTGGTTCTTTGCTACTTATGCATTTGATCTCTTATTGGCTATAATAGAAATGAAATTTGTAAAGTGCTGCGCTACACTGATCTCCTGGTTTGCTGTTTGTTCAACCTGGTTCAACACTTCGAGCTGTTATTCTGACGTCGAGTGAAGTTAGTGTTGGGCTCTTCTCATTGGTCAGCGATTAGGTGTTTCTCGCCATGTGATTGGTTGTTTCAAATCACGATGTCTTGTTATTGTCGTGAAGATTAGAGGTTACTAGGGGTAGCGTTCGCAGCCAAATTCAACCACGATTAGCATTTTATTTCGTAAATTAGGTGAGTGCATTTGTTTCCCAGTTTCGTTGGTGTTCTACTCTCCAAAGAGGTGTGAAAAAAAGGCGTTGTCCAATGCTGTCCTCATCTGATTGGTCAGTTCTTGGGTGTTTCTCCCTATCTGATTGGCCGTTTCAAATCACGATGTGTTGATTGGGGGATAAAGTTTAAAGGGTTCATTGATTCCACTGTGATCATGGTCAGCATTTTCTTTCGTAGATCGGATGAATTTAATGATTTAGAGTTACTGAAGTGTTAAACTCTTCACTGAGATGTGTAAAAACTCATCCAATGCTGTACTCGTTTTGATTGGTCGGTGTTTGTGTGCTTCTCCCCGTCTGATTGGCTATTTCAAATCACGCGACACCTTGGCTCTGTCGTGAAATTTAAAGGTCATATAGACTAGAATTGGCAGTTTCAAGTAGCTATTGAGTTCACGCTAATCGTGACTAGGCAGTTTCTTTCGCAAATAAAATGAATGCGTTTGTTTTCGATCGCATCACGATGTTGTGGCATGTTTCGTTTAAGAAGTGCGCGCGCGCGCGCCTGCCAGAGGTTAATGCGTTCGCAGAACACTTTAAAAACAGGCTCCCAACTTTTTGTTAACCTGTAGCCAAGATGAAGGAAACCCACGCCTTCACGATTGTTGTCTGCCGTCGTGTTCTGCTCCTCCACCAACTGTCCGTGGATCAGTTCGTCTGCGTACGCAGACTCTTGCAGAATCCGCATCTACGCCGTAGCAACTTAGTGTGATCTTCAAATGAGGTGGAAGTTGACCTGTGGTAGGTGATTTGAGGGCTGCATACCTCGAGGTTGTGGATTATAACCCGGTTTCTGCCAAATCGGTCGATTTTGAAATTGTCACAGTTGGCAGACGTAAATTCAATCCAACCAATCAATATTGACTGGATTAAAAGATAAATTGGATTCTGATGCATCGATTAGGTCGTTTTGGTGCTGCCGCGTGTCTGGCCAAACCGTAGTTGAGGCGGTAACTCGGGCTAATTCGCCAGTTCACATGGAGATATTTAGACGTTGTGTTTACCAGTGAACTGTGATGCCGTCATTCGAAAGACGCAGACATGACGGTTTGTGTGGAGATCTTCCACGATCAGCTTCGAACTTAGAAAACACGCGGATGGTTGTGCGTGCTTTGGTCGTGGTTCGCACACGCATACAGGAAATTGTCATCTCTCAGATTGGTGGAGTTGATTATGACCTCGGCGAAGCATTCGTCGACGACTTCCAGCAGCTCAATGGGACCAATGTCAGCTTGTAACAAGAGCAGTCCGTAGACTGTCAACGCCATCTCTGCGGAAATTTTGAACGGAATCTGCCACAGGCTGTATCGTGTCGTGCTAATTGGATGGACGACATGTGGCAACGCTGAATAGCGATTGCTGGCCAAGACTGGCAAATCAGTAGCAGATCTCGCACTTCTGAATCCTTGTTTTTTTTGAGGTTTACTCAAACCTCCTGTGTACGCGGAAACTCGCCTCATAGGTACATTTAATTCTGGTTCAACATCAACGAAGACTTGTACCGTCTGGTATGCTGTTCTCTTTGTAACAGAACCTCAAATTGTCTGCATTTTGATCACGCAAATCAACCTGGTTTAGGTTTGGGTGATCTGAAAATTCTGATCCGAGTAAATTTAGCATCTGCAATACGCGTGACAGCAACAACAACAACAAAAACGGCAACTAATTCTCGCCACCCAGCTGCGCTAGATTATGGCGTTTGGTTGTCCCTGTGACCTGATTTTTACCAACAAAATAAAGGCTGAGGGAACACACATGTTCGCCTTATTTGCAATGCCAAGCATTTCTCGAAATGAGCGTTTCGTGTCAACTGCAACGAAAAGAGTTGGATTTTGAATCCACCAATCGAACTGGCGGCTGATCGATTGCCGCTTTTCTGATTGGCTGAGCACGCAAAAAGTGTCTAAATCGTATCAGTGAATCTACTCTCTGCTTGCATGCCTTTTAGAATAATCTGATTTCATAGAGACGGCAAATTTTATACTTATAGATTATCGATTTTTGACACACGACTACCCTCACCAAAAGACCAATTTATACAGCAGTACTCCATATTAAGTAGTGTTTTTTATCAGTTATGATGCGTAAAAGCAAGGCACTCGTTTTTATTGGCTAGTTAAGATATGTGGAAGAGGCTGGGATAAATGCAAGAATACCCAGGAGCCGGAAAATCGAAACACCGGCCCACCAAACTGTCAAATCCTAACACGCGCCTTTGAGCTACGCGCCTTTGAAAGGAGGGGATTTTGCAGAGAATTAAAACAAGGGTTCTAGGATGAAAAAGGAGGTGGAGGCAGAGATGGTAGTGGCGGCGGTTCATTTGGCGGTGGGTAGTAGGACATCGAATCTTCATCGTCATTTATCGTGGGTGCCTGGCAGGCAGTTTCGTAGTCTGGCGGAGATCCGATTATGGAATCGAGGTTGGGTGTCGGACGCTAAAATAAGACCAACAGCAACAATGACCTTCACTGCCCAATCAGCGGTCCGATTCGCTGCGACCTTGAGCCCAGCCAATCGGGATGAAGCAAGTCGTTTGAGGTCATTCTTTGTTTGTGACAAATATCGATTTTTGGATTAACAACGTACATTGCTTTGTCTGGCAAATGCCTCTCGTTCATTGTGAGTCTGCGGTGCTTGGTTACGACAAGATCCCTTGTAGCAGAGTCGAATACTGATGGCGATGAATGCCAATCCAAAGACCACACCAATGCAGATCATGGCGTAACCACTGCTCATCATGAATCTGTAAAGTAAGTGGAACGCAAAATCGTTTTTTCTTGTCAAATTTTGGAAAAAAATTATCGAGCCAAAGGCGAGTTTGACATTTCCGATTGGTTGGTTGGAGGGAGACCATTAATCCGTGAAGGTTATCTATTAGTAGACAATAAAACTCTAAAATTTTTTTACGAAAATTCTCTTAACTACGAGATTTGTGTCAGCCAATAGCAACTTTGCACAATGACAGCTCATTCGTGCTCGCTACAGATTGGCTAAGAGCCAGGCATCACAGCGTCGCTGCCTGTTCGTCTGCAAGCGCCAATAATTTGTGTGTTAGATCAGCCCATTCATGCTTGATCATATCAGCTGCAATTCACATAAATTACTTTATATGTGAATGGAAATTGCCACACAAGATGCCTGGTCACTGCATAGTTGAAGCTTCACCTGCTGTGATTGGCTGATTTTGCGTGTGCACGTGTTTACTGCATGCAAAAGTGCTTGTAAAATGTGTTTCTGGCGTGGAAGGTGACAAATAACGGGGACGTAGTTGAGGGTAGCTCAACTTGAGTGGTTCATTAGTGGCACGCGTGTGAGGGCCTGTAAAAACTACGATCACTTCCGAGTTTTAATCAAGCTCGAAAGAGCTAAGCCAAGAGTTCAAGGTCGTGGTAGGTGATCTTGGAACACTTACTGTCTCGATCGCGCTTCGTTCGTACAAGTTGGGTCCAATTGCTTGTCGAGAGGCGCCTCTGTGACGGCTTTGGTGCAGTTGGGCGAGGGTGTGCTGTAGGTAACCATGAATTTGATTCCGGCGCCAAGGAAAACAGCGCAGAAAAAGAGCAACAGGAACATGGTGCAGGCCCAGGCGATCTGCCTGCAATTCTTCCAAATACGATCAGTAGTATCCGGGAAAATAGCCATAGAGAGCTAAAATCAAGCGGTGAACATATCTTGAAAACACAATGAACCCACAAACCGACAATCTTGTGGCGTAAGGCGTGTCTTCAGTCAAATTCGGAAGACCATGGTTAACTAGTTTTGAAATTTAATGGACGGATAGTGAGATAGCTGCCGCCGGACATTCCAACGAACGTTCCAGAACCTATTTGGAGGTTTTGTTTTAATTCACGTCTGAATTTAACTCCGACATTGCGTTGTTTTTGGCACCAAAGTCATGAGGTCACCGAGTTACATTTAGCGAATTTAAACAACACTCATGATATCAAGCATCATGTGACTATACCAAAAGTGCGGTATCCCTTCAAATGTTGTTTTCCGCATCTATTTATAGCCCGCGGCTTAGTTAACTTAAACAAAAGCAGGTTCTATGGCCTTGGGGCTATACTGGTGGTGTTGCCGATTGTTTACGACTGACTGCGGGTTGCTTAAATCAGCGGATGGAGACACAGATACCGCGCACATTGAAATCAGACGGAACAATTGGTGGCTAGGACAGACCAGAGGGGAAACAGTTTTTCCCTCACGTCACCTGGTTTCCACTGCCACCGCGTCAGCAGTCAAGGCATCCAATAATGTCAAGTAGACGCACATGATCAAATTTGTCAGTTGACGTGAATTGACAGAGGTGTCTGGTTACTTCGACAACTTACAAAAATTCAGGGAAACGAGTTGACTAACTGTTCATTCAAAGACAAAAGCACTGAATACAACTGCATTCGTTTGCAAGCCTACATAAGAATCAACCCGAATTCGTATACTATGCCACTAAACCGAGTGGATTGAATCGGTGGGCAGCAATTTAATTGGTTGTTGTGACTGCCCGCTGCCACCCATTGGTCGTTCTCCACACGCACACGCACACAATGACACATCATGACCTGTAGGTGATTGGACAGTTGTGCTGTCGTCTCATCACCCTCTTCGTTTTGCGATTTGCTGGATGGTGACTAAACGAATGTACCTCAACACGGTGCAGATTGGCGTGTTTGTTTGTTGAGCTGTGATACCAGACACTGACGCATAGTTGCTCTCATTCTTGTCGGCCGAAACGCGTCTAGACAACCAGATAATTAACCGTCTTCCAATTGTCCGTGTGTCTCTTCCATGCCTTCTTCTCCTCCTCCTCCTCCTCCTCCTCCAACTCAGCCATCTCATTGGCTGTGTAGGGTCACACCTGACGTCCGTGATCTTTAGGTTGCCATAGTAACACATTACTGAATCGAGCCATCAAGAAAACGCTTGTGTCAGCGTCGTGCGTGGTCTGGCAAACCGTCGTGTGTGACTCCTGGACCTCAACAACCGTCTGTCTCAGTGTGATTGGCGGTTTCTACAGGTGGTGACTTTGATGTTCCTCATCTACGCGTCTTTTGAGTACTCACTAAGACCTACTCTGCCGCCCCCCTCTGTGCAATCTCAATTCATCGGTTTAACGGAAAGTAAGTTAGTTTGTAGATGAAATGTTGGTAGCTAGTGGAGGTTTGGCTGTCACTGAGGCATCAAGACTCAAATTTAGACTTGTTGAATTACCACGAAACGCGAAAACGAAGCAGCTAGAAACGGCGAAATGATTCCATCTCAACCAATGACCTTTCAATACTGAGGCTTCCTCAAACTGACTGATACTCACGAATTGATCTTCATGATCATCAATCAGACCATCTACTTGGAAGACCATAAATTGTTTTATGTCCTCAATGCTTGTTAATATTGATATATTTGATGGAACAATTATTAAACCAATAACACAAAAACACTAATGGAACAATAAATGACACATTTAAACAAAATATGAAAATCCTACATGATACAAGAGAACGCACCCGTATTTTAAATGAAAGTGCCGACGATAACGCCGAGGTGCATCGTGTACACCTTTTATTCTCTCAGCCACTGACCAATCAGAATGCACCGCCGAGTTACCAACCTACTCAATCCCTATTAAGTAAATTCCGACACCTTAACCTAGTGTTTTCAGCGAGTTTAAGATCGCAAACAGTGAAATTGCAGCATGGGCAGTTTACCAAAATGGAGTTTTCATACCTGTAGATTTTCAGAGAAATTCTGACCAAACCCGCTGTCTCTCCGCCAATCGAACCTCACACGGGTGCAATTTTTTTTCTAGAAGTCCATTTTAAAGTGAATGACACACAAAATGCGTGAATCAGAAATTGAAAAAGAAAATGCACTTTAGACATCAGAAATGTCATTTTGATGTTAACTGCGTGAAGTGTTTGAATAACGCGTGAGACCGGTACTCGTTGCCAAGGCAACGACCAATTATGAAGGAAAGTGTGTTTTTTGTCATGTTAGCAGTTGATGCTGCTCGGCGAATTCATCAGATCTAAGGCAAAACAGGTGATTTTGTCACCTGACCAGAGAGTAAACCTGGGAGGTAGAATGTGACATGAGGCCAGCTCGCGGTAGAGATGAATGCGGCGTATTTTAATGCACCTACAATGTGATTTCGATTGTTTGAATACACTGAGAAGTGAGAATACATTCAAAGCGATCGTAGCATCGGCAGCGATTTAAATTGGGCGGTGAATTTGTACATGTGAGTTCATTCAAAGGCACGAAGGGTGTGTACAGGAGAAAAACAGGTCATTAACAGGTGAGAGGATGAGGTTAATTGTGGTTTGCCTCGATCAGATCATTTGGGGGGCTTCGCGACCCTCAAGCAGTACGCGCAATTCCTCAGACGACCGCCAGACGTGATTATTCAAACGTGGCGCTAAAACAGAAAGCCAGAATAAACAAAACAGCCAATCGGCAAGCAGAAGGGTTAGAATGGAAAGGTTAGCTTTTATCATAAGGCCAAGCAGTTAAAAGCGTTAAGCAGAGAGTACCAGTTTTTATGCGTCGTCGCGTTCAACTAAAGTGAAAAAAACAAAAATCGACATACGAAATATCATTCCACACACAAGCCTATGCTTGTTGCTATGTAAACAAGGGGTAAATTATTAATTTTCCACATTTGCATACCATGATTATTCCAAAACGCGCATTTTGGTGATACTAGGTAACCAGTTAAATGACACGATTTAAACAAGAATCCAAATTCCAATGCAAGGAATCTAACATTGAACGTCAAGGTCAAGCTCTCAGCCAATAGCAATCCGCCTACTACCCAGGAGTCACGATCACGATCAATAAGATTTTGAACAGCATTAATCAATATTGAAACAGCTGATGCATCAGAAGTCGAGTTTAAGTGGACCCTGCAATCGATAATATTGCCAAAATTTAAAAAGATATTGTTTGAAACCAGATAAATTTTTATCGTTTTGCCACTAAAGACAGACCGACAGCGGTTTAAGTGTTTAGCAAGGGTGTCAACGAGAACGGCAGTGAAAACCACACGTGTGGCTCGAGGAAGCTCCATAACAGCGTGTTTGACACAACCTCACATGTCAACTTCACAATGTACTGAAACATAACAATGTCATGTGCGCACAATCTGGTAGGTGTAAACGCCTGCACCATGGCAAATTGGAACTTAAATCTGGCGGTAGTTGAAAACCCCTAGCAGACACTAGCGTGCCCGCGTGAGTCAGTTATTGGTGACAATGACAGCTGAACACATCAATAGCAGATGAGTTCGCGGCTTTCTCAAGTACAGTGTTGGTTTACGAAGAGGTAGTGGTACAACGTGAGTTGACGGGACCTACACACTGAATTATCGATTTCAAGCAGGGTACTACGAGAGGCTGGATGGGGCAGGGGTTCACGAGGCACGTCTGGTAGACGAGGCGGAGTCGGTGGAATCTGCACTGCCTCCTCGTTTTCTTCCTCCGCTTCGGCTTCCTCACGTAGGACCCCGGAGTCCAGGAGGGATTGACGGAGTTCCTTGGAGAGACGTCGCTGATATTCAGGCGGTTTCAGCATTACGGCAACTCGATGTAGGATTGACGCACTGTAGGTCGCTAAGGCGAAAAAGGGTAATCAAGTGGTAAAGAAATCTAACAGATGGACAGCTGTACTTGAGTGTGCGGCACAACAAATCGATAAATCCAGCTGATTGGCTGGTTCAATGCCACGCCAAATAGCATTTTTAAAGACTAACTGCAGACGTACACCATTTTTCCACATTCATATCGACCGCCAACATTTCATTGGCTCACTCGGCTTCAAGTGGTAGCTCTAATCTTTGCATTGAGATTGCGCGAAATTACGCTGGTTTGTGTCGTTTTAAACAAAAAAAACCAACCTGTTTTGGGGTTTTCGGAGTGGACAAGGTCGGTGATGCGTGGAATAGCGCCTTCTTTCTCAATGGCACGACTTCCCTCAGACGATACGGACACCTCGTTTAGTAGCCCCAGGGCGGCGCGTTGAAGGAACTCCGAACTGCTGTAGAGGTACTGAAATGGGAATTAAGTAGGTAGAAATGTTTCGATTGACTGGGTGTTTGTGATTGGGGTATAAAACAAAAACGCGCGCTACTTACATGAACTATACAGCCAAATGTGCCCCCGGATGCCTGGACAATTTGGACGCGAGCCAATGAGTGCTTGGCCATCGAGTGCAAAGCAGCCAATAGGATCTCAAGAAGGTCCTCCACCCTTACACCCTCAATGTAGCTCAATTCCGAGGCGTCGGAGAGAATAGAAGATCGCTGCCTAGTAGCCTCCTCGTAGACTTCAGTGGCGCGTTGAAAAAGACTCAGAAGCTGGCCAGTCGCTCCTAATTGGCTAAAAACGGACCAATGAAATATGAGTTTTACTTACTGCAGATCTCTGCGGCATTTTCTGCTGAGTGCAATATTTCGAACAAGTCCGGCGACTGCTTTGACGAGTGGCAGCTGAGAGGGGAAGCTTTGGAGGTGAAGAAGAGAGACAATCTGCTCAAGAACTCCACATTCGTGAATCTGCAGGCAAATTTGATAAATGCTAGTATGTTATGCAGTGCTTTTAACAATGAAACATAAAAATGAAATAACTACTGAAGCAGAGATAGTAGCTAGTATATTTTACTTTGAAAAACGAACCTGCTGAACGGCGAGAGCGGCGTGATCGTTTTGGTGGGTGAGATTTCGCAGAGCCGAGCACACGGGCTCAGTTACTTCATCACGTGATAGAAAGCTTACCAGACATCCACACAGCGCGGGTACGCCATCTGTAAAGGGTAAAATGATGAGAATGCGATGTTCAGTTAAGGGAAAAGTAATGACTACTTAACTAAATCAGTAGCCATGTTTTTAGCACTGACCAAGTTCAATCAGAGTGGCCTTATTGACGGCGTTTTGGCAGGTTAAATTGCACAAGCATCCAACAGTGCAGATCGCAATGTTCTCCACGGGTGAGGAAACTAGAGGCACTAGGAGGTTCAGCAGTTCTTTCGTGTCCGTCAGATGGAATGCGTGATCACTCATGTTGCGCAATCCCCACAGTGTCTCGAGTACAAGAGAATTGTGCGTCGACGTGAGGTGTTGCGTCAGCACCTGGAGAGACAAAGGACGCGCCGGAAGTCAATATTTGTTTAAATTACCACAAACGAGGCGCTGGCGGGAAGTGCAAGTCACCTCACCTGAACAGCGCCCGCCTCCACGAATCCACGTTTGCACTCGGATGAGACACTGAGAACTTTGACAAGCCGCGCCAAGGCATGTTGGAGTTTGTACTTGTCGTTGAATATCTGCAGGAGGTAGACGATTTTCTCGCAAATGTCGCAGTCAAGGAGAATTAGCTACGAGATATAAAAATTAGCGTGCAAATGAATGGTCCATGTGGACAGAGCAATTTGATTGGTTAACGGACAAATGTTGAACACTGAGCAGTACAGTGGCACGCGATTAAAACAAAAAAAGTAATGCTTTGTGTCCAGGAAACCTAGGTGCTTTTACGCGCACACGCAATAAGTGTAAGACACGTGTATGTCTTAAAAACTGCTCACGCGCGTAGCCCCACACGGAAGTCGTAACGTGATACCGCGAGGGCGTCATGAAACACGAGCAAAAGGGCCACAGAGTGTCGCAGCAAATTCACGCGCGCACACACAAGTCACGCAAATTGTGTACCTACTCTGAAACAAGAAAATCGATTTATGTTAGTCCAAATAGACGCCAAACATTGCCTGAATGAGCTGGATTTCGTGCCGGAGGATTCGTGTGCAAAAGTAACATCAGGCATTAATCTACAGTTACAGATAGGGCATGGTATTGACTTTGTAGAGAGAGAAATGCTTACATTATGTCAAATCCGCACATTACCTTGAAGTAACTGTGGATTTTACGTCACCAAGAATCGAGGTGGTGACTTCTCACTTCATGACATCATTTAAAAAGCATGCATTATTACTAGCAATGCTTGATTTAGCGTAAAATGAGGAAAAGTCAAAAGAAGTACTTGTAACAACGATTGGGTGAGGGTTACAAGAAACACAACTGGAACCACATACTTTAGTTTCAACATCCTCGTAGGCCGTCATTCTGATGGCGTCGGTGCAGATAGCTAACCAGGAGGGATCAGATATTTTGTCTGGAGTGAGGAGGCTTGCCAGTTGAATTGGTCCACCACACTGGCGAACTTCTGGTCGTACTTCCTCAGGAAAAAAGAGCATCTGCTTGTGGAGGATTGAGAGGGCTGTGAGCAGTATCGTCTCGGTGGGATGGCTAATTGAAAAAAAAGTCGCAAAATTTGGCCGCTTCCGAGCATCGAGTACGTGTGGGTTTTTACGAAGACACTCACTTGAGTAGCTGGACTAGATTTGCGACAGAAAGAGATGCACGAACAGCGGAAGCTGCTGGACGAGCGTAGCACAATTTGCGCAAAGCAAGTGATGCCTCCGTCTGCGTATTGATATCCTGTGTTGTTTGGAGCAGACGAACCAGGGATTGTGTTAACTGTAATTAAAATATATAAAAGAAGCAGAACCGTAGAATTTACTCCACAGGACCAAAAGACGTGGAAACCACCCATTCATACCTCGGAATAGCTGGCTAAGCTATTTCTGGAAGCCTCTCGGTCAGCAAGTTTGTGCAAAATGACACAGGCATCGTATTGGTGCTCCATTGATGATATGTCTGGATTGAGCAAACGGGTCAACTTCGGTACATTAGCGATTGCTGCCAGCGCGTCATCCTAAAATTATAATAAAATAATACAGAATACACAATTACCATTAAGGAACTTTAAATGCAAGTTAAACAGATAAATAATGAGATTAAATAGATGGCATAAGGTGAATTACTACTCTGCTGGTTCATATAGAAAGCCCAAGCTTACCCTGAAATTAACAACCATCTCAATGGCTTTGGCAAGGCCTTCAATATAGGGAATAAGGCACTGAACGGCTGTTTTTTCGTGTTCAAGTTCCTCTGGGGAATGTGAAGACAGACTTAACTTTCGAGTTTCTTCAGATAAAAATAACGAATTTTGAGAGGTATGAGCAGACTGATAAATGTGTGATTGTTTGCTTGACCTGCTTGGTTGCATATCACCGATTTTAAAATCTTAATGACTAAAATTTCCTACAACAGTTTTACAGGCAATTGATAAAAATTCCGCACACCATTTCAAGACAAGCGCAGCGGAATTTTCAACAATCCTGACCTTGTGATTAGTTCATGTAAAATATGTGATAGGTATCTAGACTTTGCTAAGCCCTTTTTAATATTTTGCAAGTACGTTAGAAGAATTTTTCACTAGTTGTAAAAGCATTTAAGTAAACCAGGTAACTGATATCTATGGTTATTTCAGTAGGATGGATCGCTTTAAAAACTGTAACTAATGAGTAATTTTATTAGTTAAATAATAATATTGCAACTAGATGTATTAACTGTTTTTTATAGTACGAGTGTGGTAAATAAAAAGCTACTCTTCACCGTCTAAATATGTTGTTTTGCATTCGAAATTAATTTAAACTTTGGTAATTTATTTTTATGAGCTCACGAAAAATTGCAATCATTTCTTGTAGTTCCTTGTCTCTTTCTAGAATTTTACGTGTAAAGCAATATTGGATCGCATGATTATACAGAAAGTGGTTTTGTAGTGAACTTGGAAGCAATTGTGGAGTTTTCCTAAAATCTAAATGACAATTAGGTTTTTTAGGTAATTATTACAAAAGAGTGTGCAAAAGGCTTGAAGCCTTAAAATTAATGTATGAATTATATTTTCAAATCGAGTCGGTAAAAGCTCCAAGTTATAAATTTGAGTAGATTTTCGAAATGATAACTTTAATAATGAAGCGTTTTGAATTTAATTAAAACAGAAATATTAACTTTTTATGGTCACTTTTCTTATATACTTTCCATTTTTAATATGGAATTAATATGTAATAAAATTATGCTTTGAATCTAAATCATGTTTTTGTAGAATAATCTCCTTTGATGTGTTTTTCTCTTTATCGATTTCTATTGCAATATTCCATTCAACGCTATACACGTTTATCCAAATGGGCCTTGTTCGTATCGTCGCTTGCAGTATTTAAAAAAAGCATGATCACAAGTCAGGCATTATTACAATGTTTGGACGTTCTTGAATATTTGGGACGATTTTGGCATTTAGATTATATTCGGAAAGATAAAACTCAAAATTTATTTCTTGAAGATATTTGGTTCTTCTTCAAGTTTGTGTGTTTTTTCAGGCTTTTATTAAATTCGCTTCCGAATTTCTGTGCCTTCGTATTAGTTATGAACGACCTGTAGTAGGTGAGGAGTTATCGGTTAACATGTGCGTCTTGTTTAGCTCATGCAATACCCTACAGAAAACTGGTACACTTGAACATGGTCTTATTGACCAATAACAAGTCACAGCCACACGTCAGGCTCCGCCCATCCGAGTGCACCACGCTGACCACGTAGCTCATTATATACTGCACCTCATTCTTGTCCTTCTCTGGTTGGTCGCTTATCTTACTCGAATGCCATTGGAACGCAGAGAGACACAGGATTGGCTGAGTCCAGGTGGTCCAATATGTCTGCGCCCTTAGACGTCACCACTCTGCCTCTCCCTCATGAGTAAAGCTGTTATCAGCCTTTGGTTTGGTTTACCACACTGTTCATGATTGTTAAAATATCCATTTCGACACTCTCCAACACCCAACATCTGGCAGGATAGTGGCCCAAGCGAATAGTTGACAAGGAAATTTGCTCTTGTAGACGTGCAGGAAGGCTGCTTGATCCATCGTCGGTTCTTTCGCAGTTGCAATCCAGGTGACTTCTACTGTCCATATCATTGTCGTTGAGTTGCTAATGCTTATTCAGATGCAGTAGTCCTAATTCAGGGCAATGTCTATGGAGTTCGATTATCGTTAATCGAACGCATCCGCTACCACCAATTTAGAATACCCGAGCCCTAGTATGAATATGATTGATACACCAGAACAGGTTTTATTGACCAATCACAAGCCGGAACCACATGTCAGACGCCGTCCATCTGAGCCCACCACGCTGGCTACACCACTCATTATATACTGCACCTCATTCGTGTCGTTCTCTGGTTGGCTGCTTGTCTTCTGTACTTGCCATTGGATAGCAGGGAGACGGAGGATTGCCTGAGGCCAGCGTGGTCCAATATGTCCGCGCCCTTATACGTCGCCACAACCAGTATTTATCTTTGAGATTTTTTGGCAACACTTCTGGCGTCAACACGATTTTCGTCAAATCGAAAATGCCATTAATTATTCGCCGCAAGATTCCCAAATAGCCGCAGTTATGTGCCTATGAAATGATCAAGTATTTGGTTGAGTGCTCGATGTGTCAATTCCTCTTGTGGTATCGCAAGAATCAACTGACCTCTGAACTATCGATTTTTTAACTCAACAAAAAAATGATTTTTGGCAAATCATTATTGAACTGACGACCAAGTCACGTGATTAGTGAGTGCTTTGGCACAAAAAAATGTGATCACGTGTTTTTTTACACAACAGTTACAAAATCTCAATAATCCAATCTGATTTTAAGCTGTGACGCATGAATTTCCGGGTCAACTGTCAATGTTTGGGGATCGCCAATTGAATGCTTTCACTTATAAATGCCCTCGAATCAGTTCATGCCCCAATTAGCAGAACACAAACACTAACGTTGTAAATATTGCCTTTTCTTTGTAGTGTTGACACGCCAACTCCAACGATTGTTCTAAACAACATCTGGTGCTCTTTTTATGTGCAGAATCATGATTTTTAATCACCACGCACAAATAATTAATTGCTAAGTAAATAATAACTAGATTGACTTGTACAGTAGTTTCAAAAATTAAAAATGACCTCGGTAGTTGAACGTGGTTTGTTTTGTTGCCGAAATTGTGACACACGTACCGGTTGCAATTCAGCAACTAGATAAAATATTACCTCCGATCGTGTTATGCGGAAATGCGTTTTGCGGTTTTCTAGTCAAAATCTGCTTACAAAGTTGAAAAGTGTGTCTACTTGGTTTAGTATCGCGTCCAGTTAAGTGATATCACTTTCTAAGATAACAGCCATCAAGAAATTGTTGGGGGGCCCAGGCATGCGGTCTTGAACCAGGCCGGGACCACGGAATTAACCCTCGCCCGATTACGTTTCCCCCACACCCGCGATGAAGATAAAGACCGGAGAGGACGTGGTCTCAACCGCCCACTTCAGAGCTCAAATACGTTGGTGTCGTTGTGTCGTGTGTGTGGTTTGCGCGTGTGTATTTATAGCTCGGATGTGTGAGTCATAAATGCGCTAACATCGAGATCTAGATGAGGGGATGCCCCAAGATAACTAGTCGTGCTAATGAAGAGGGAGTTGAGGATTCGCGCGGCTGGTGACAAGTTGCGAAAAGGGGAACCCTGTGTAGGAGGTGGAGCGACCAGATTAAGGGGCTGAATAAACACGATTCACGACAAACTCCTCTCGTGTGGACCTATTCCAGATTTGCATATTATGGTAACAGTTATTAGTGTAAACGAAGCCTCTAGACGCTTTTCCGCTTCAAATTTGTAAATTTTTTGGTGTTTTCATAGTAAACATTTAGCCAAATCTGCACATTTCTCTGGACGTTTCGCCAATACAACATTTGAACCGTTACTCTGAGGCTCTGGGGAGTAGGCTCTGCAGTCAAATTTTCGAAGAAGTCAGTAAAGTATAATTTACTGGACCACGAAGATTCGCTAGTGAACCAAACCAACTTAGACCTGTGCTTGAGCCAAATTACGCTTGTTTTGATCCTTGAATTCGTTGAATCCAAGATCACGAAATTTGCACACTTGTTTACTGTGAGACCTTCTGCGCAATAAGGCATTTGCGGAAAAAGTGGTCGACCAATCAGAATGAAGAATACACTCCAGTTGACAGTCCAATATCCATTAACGTTTAACCCCTTAGTGTCCTTTCGCACTGATGTCCATCGGTTGAAGCTGTCTTGAAATTATCTCTAAAATGTTTTAACGTCTTTTTGTTGGTTTTAAACCGACATCTCATTGAGAGCAAAATTCAGTTTCTGCGCTTTCAATTCTGCGGCAAACTGTCATTGCTAGTTCTTGGCTTATGAATTTGCACACAAAACAAATTTCGTAACATCAAAATTTATTGGCTTAAGAATGACCAATCAGATCTCTTAAGGAAACATTGACGTTAATTGGCAGAAATGGCACCACTCTCCAACTAACATCACTCGGCAAAAATCGATATCTTGTCACACTCATATACACCTCCAATTAAATGAATTCGGACTGTTTTAGGCAAAGTCACTACTGAGGCTTATCCAGGGCAAAGCGGAGGACACACTTTAGTCACCCTATTTGATAATGCCATGCACGGTTAGCCAATCAGATTCGCCCGGAGTTTCAGTTGGCTTCCGGCGTGAACTCGAAGTGTCCTGGACCATGTGACAACAATTTTGCGTCTGGGTAATTACGCAGAACCACGCAGGATGCATCATGGAGACCAGTCCGCCCCACAACCACACCAATGTTCCCGCCACAGAACCTTCCAACCTCCAAGTGAGTTGATTGGTGCTCTCAAGGTCATTCATATTGTGATACCTTTTCAAATAGCTAAATGCAAAAGACATATTTTTTTGAAAGGTCTACACATGAATTTAACTAATTGGATTAAATATTGGCTTCTTTAAAACACGATAATTCAGATTTTTAGCATTTAAGTAGGCTGTAAGATTTATGCAAGTCATGGATCGTGGGTATTTTTGAAAATGTGTACAAATTACGCTGTGGGTGCATCAGCCTCTAGAAAATGCTTTACTTCAGACGAATCATGTGACACAAAAGCATGCGTGCAGATTTAAGATTTGTGAGGAGTTCAAATCAGTGTGATCCTGTCGATTTAAGCAAACCAATTTACCCGACTTGAGGATTTTGTCACATGCTTTAGCTGAATTGATTTGCCCGACAGCGATTTCGATCTACCTCAGACGTCACCTCACAGATCGTACCATCTGTCTGTCTGTCTATCTGTAGAGAATCGCTCTGTTGGTATGGCGCCAAAGTGGTCCATTTAAACAAAAGCGTAAAATCCAAATTCGTGTGGCGCATGCCAAAGGTGGATTTTTGAATTTTTTCCTGATTGTGGTTTTGCGCTTCTAGTTGTGACTGCAATTCACTAATAATACGCATCAATCTCTGAATACTCCACAAAAAGCGCAAGATATTTACGAGGAATCTGAACAGCAAGACAGAAAACGGTTATTTTTCTTGCCAGACCCCATGGAGACATCGTGTTGTGTGCGAATTGACGCAATAAATTGGGCTTATGTGCGTCTCGAAAATGTGCCAGATGGCGAATTCCCATGACGGCTCTGATGATTTTACATCCCACCGTTTTGTGGAGGTTTTTTGCAGTCAAAAATTCACTAATTTCATTCTGGCCAAAAATCGAAAATCATTTAACATTCAAAATGGTGGCAAAAATAACTACGCAATCTAATTGGCCAAATATTTTTCAAAAAAAAGATATTTAGTTACACAAATGGATAATGACTTTGCTATTGTATGCCAGCCTTAATATCGCAAAATTAATTTGTATATTTAAAATTTTATACAACAAATAAACGAAATTGTTGTACTTCTTTAGGAGTTAATTTTGTTAATGCAATTAAACGATGGAAAAAAACCAGATTTGCTCAATTTTTAAAATTAACTCGTGCATTTCTTCGTTGCCTGCACGGGTTACTACGGTAACCAATCAAAAACGCTGATTGCATATCAATTTGTTTTAAATTTCACGTTTCATGAAGTCGCTAATTTTAATTTTTAAAATACCTCTGGAAAAATATCTAACAGCCGTTAGAAACAGTATGAATGGATCTGTCATCTTCAACGTCCAGACAAATGCAGAATAAAAAAGGTGGTAAAAGAATGCGTGAATTAAAACAAGAGCTGACTTTAGGGGTATTGGTCAAAATAAGCGTGCCATGTAATCGATGTGTTTTGGTTCAAACAAAAAAACGCCTAAACAGATTGCTGACTTTAATGCTTCTTTTATAGACGTGAAAACTCCCTAAATGGCGGAGTTTTTGTAGGTGTAAAATGCGACATTTAGCTCACCAGATGTTACAGTGAGGCTGTGAAATTGTAAAGTCATTTTTGAAATAAACCAATCAAATTGTACGAAAAGCGTGGCAAATTTAAAATTAAAGGACGTCGGTAGAATTGCCCACTTTGCCAGATACCTGGACGCTTAAGCCTTTTGACTGAATCTTGGGTTGTTTTGTATTGTTTTATGTGGCAGCATGACAAATTAGCTTGAAATCGTGGGATACCTTTAATTAAAATAATTTTTCCTTTGAATTCGCCTCAGTGGAGGAATGGCAAGTTCAGCGTTAATTTAATTGGTCAATGAATGTCTTGCGAAGGCACGAATATGTGAATGTTTGTGTAATATTTGCTAAACGAGTGATTCAGCAATCAAAACGCATCTAAAACAGCCACACAATGAGAGCTTTCGACAAATCGAGGTTAATCTATTCCCAGACGCCACCTCCATTAACGCTTTACACTTAAAAATGCCACCGTTGGTAAATTTAAAATATAACTGCCCTATTCTGTCATTTATTGCAGCAAATTTTTCAATGACATTTCATCGCGAGTTGCCAACCAATGGTTTATTTTTAAGATTAAATATTTTTTCCCCTAATTGCATTAGTAAATTCTTGTATCATTTCGCTTAAATAGTTTGATTTTGCAAAAGGCGGAGAGTTGGCTTGAACCACAAGCAGATAAATATTTCAAAACCACGCACTTTTGTGAATAGAAACCAAAAGTGTTTAGTGTGAGGGTTTTTAGCTGTTGACAAGTCAAACGTTAATAATTTACATGGTGACGTTGTTTAAAACACAAAACAGTTTTTCCCGCCACTATCAATTTGAAAAAAAATCAGGAATTTCCCACAATTCTTTTCTCTTATATTAATGATTAAAAAGATTTAGCAGATATCGCGATTATTGAATTTATTCTTGTTTTAATTTTTAGATGAGTGAGGAATCGACTGCGTCTCAAGCTGATCTCGATGAAAATAGAGATACACGCGACAGCAATGGTTTGTTTCCATAATGTGTTGTCGCGTAATTGTTTTGCAAAACACGCCCCATTATCGCAATCAGCCAATAACATTTTGCCTAAAAATCACTCGATAAATATACCGAAAGAAATTACGCGCCACTAATGAGGTAGTGATATTTTCAGCATTTTGGTATTATAATGTTGCTCTCAAGACGTGCTTGTTTGCATTAAATAACTAATTAGGCCACACCTGATTACTTATTTTCAAATAACGTGCTTTTTCATAATTTCCGTCAATATACTTTTTGTCCTCTGCAACTGACCTCACAATATTTAAGCGGCGTGGAAATTTGTAGAAGCTGAATAAATTTTGCCACTTAAACCAACACTTGTCATTTAAACTGCGCAGGAAATTTAAAACAAATCAACTTTTTCAACTTTATCGATTTTTACGCTACTGTTACAAAATCGAGCTCTCTGATTGGTCAGTTTGTAGGCACCAATAGAAAACCAACTGTGATCGACTTCAACGTCAATGGTTGTGGTTGAACCTTGTAAAATTTTGCTGAAACGCATCCGCTGCAAGGTTTAAACCCAGGTTTGTTCGAATGAATGCTCATCATTTTCCACTATGACAACGGCAAACAAAATGCCCATTTTAATAATTCTTAGATTTGGGTTGGTTGTTTATAACTGTCTGGAGGTTTTTTTAAATCAAAACAATAATACGAAGGTGAAACAACGAAGAGTTTTTATTAATTTGCCAAAATGATCGTAAATACTTGGAAAGTCTTGGTGTGCGCACAAATCAGCGTGCTATGTCAGTTACTTTTTTTTTAACCGTAGGCAGTGACAAGCATTTGTTTAAATCACGTATTCGGGGTTGTTTTGCAGTAGCCTTACGGCCTCTTTTTCTCCAAAAGGCACTCCACTGTCTATCATTCTTTGCGATTGCGAATGGACCTTTCTCCTGTATCTGACATTTTTCTTGGTGTAAGAAAATGACCAGGGAATAAAAATGCCTTCTGACTGTCAGCACTGCTGGTAGCTACGATTGGTGACAAATGCCAATCGATATGGAGTGGAAGAAACTGCGTTTAACCAATCTGAATCGCGCCACATATGGTAATTCAAATAACCAACGCATTCACATCATTAAAAGAAATAAAAAGTCAGGCGAGAGGACATATTTAAGTGAACCTTTTTCGTTTTTAACCCGAGGGAGTTAAGAGTGTCATAATTAGAGACAGCTGTCCTCAAACTGCCTTGCAGAAAGGAAAATTTACATATTTTTGCATAATTTATTTTTGAATTTCCAGGCAATTCAGCGTTAATCGGGAAAGGGCTTCAATATGTATCAGTAAATATTCTTTAAAAAGTCCGCTTATTAATTTAAAGAAGGGCATCAAATAAAAATGGATAAAAATTCACAATTTCTTATAGTTTTCTACCATTTCCTGCCTGCCATCCACCAACTCATTCTTGATTAGGAAATTTAATGATACAAACAGTTTTGCTACTGATAAAACAGCAGTAGCATCTTTTTCTAGAAGGGCAATAAGTCGTCTACCTGTATCCAGCATAAGAGCGTTGAGAAAAAACTTAAACTGCGGTTTTCTGAAGGTATCAGTTGTTTGACCTATATAACCTCTATAGTTTTACTCCAAATATTGCCATTGGTTCGACCAAATTTACAGATTATTGGCCAATGTCCTCAATTACAATGAACGTACTCTGATTGGCTCCCAAATCCCTTGACACTTGTTCTATAATTTCATTGGACAGTGCGTATTTAAATGAGGTCATGCGCTCAGAAGGCTACACCGACGTCCAACCAGGCTTAATCAATGGTCCATTCAATTAAAAGGTCACCAAACTCCAGAGTTAGCGGGAAATTCGTTGTGCCATTGTAAATTGATCCCACCAATTTCGAAAATTACCAATTTTTTAGAATTGACTTCCACAATGGTTCAATTAACCAATCAAAATTCCATTATTCGGTTGTCAAATGATCTGCCGATTTGATGACTTTAAAACTAAAGATATTCACCTCAGCATTGTTATAAAAATCACGGACACAGTGTTATTCGTAGTTTGCGCAGTTTCGCAAAGCTGCTTCAGGTAGTGACAGTTGACAGGAGTAAAGAAGGTGGGACATGCGTGTGCCAGTTACTGGACATGCAACAGACTGGCGCCGAACAGCGTGGTCGGCTAAAATGTTGCGCTTTTGCCATCAGACGAAAATAACCAGAAGCACTCAACTGAGCGCGCGATAAATGAAACGGTTGCGCATCTACAAAGTCATGTCACACAGATTTCATTGTGGCGTTATCTGATGGTGTCGTTTTCAAAAAGTCAGGTTGAACACTCCCAGCGTGAACATTGGAAGTCGTCTTGGATACAATTGGCGGTAATCCATTTTGAGACAGCTGTGGAAATCAGGTTATGAAGGAGACAATTCTGGAACACACGTTGTGTGCGTTGTGGGGATCGCGCACGCACCAGTCTGGCTACCACGCACAACCAATCAACTACCAGGCGGCTCAGGGTCATCTCAGAGTCCTGTGGAAGTGGACACACAAAGGCAGACGTCTTCGAGGATTCACCGAGGTGCATTCGTCGTTCCTCGTCGACAATCGAAATGACGTCGACGAGGTGCTTCCTCACATCCACACTCATCGCTCCACCGCACACCAATCAGCAGACGTTGCACAATCCACCACCAATCAAATTCATTTTCGCAACCCCAGTTCAAACCAATCAGCAGACGTTGCACAATCCACCACCAATCAAATTCATTTTCGCAATCTGAGTAATGGCCATCTCATTATGATCATTTTCAGTCTGTGTCAGCCGATCTTGTCCAAGACACGGATTTCACCTATGATGCATCCTCGTCAACATCATTTGCCATCCCTGGCTTGATCTCGTTTCTACTCACTCACGAAAACACATTTCAAGCACCTTTGTCTCGTCTGCGACAAACAACCTCTTCGCATTTGCCTGCACATTTGAAACTTGAATTAAAATTTCATCACAAGCACAAAGCTCGCGTCTTCTCACAGAAGCCAGTCGCGCAGCCAATCACGTCGTCGCAAATGCCGCTCTCCTCTCGCTCGCACGAGGTGGATAGCAGGGCGATGCTCATGCCTTAATGTAACATTTAATGCGGCGATGTGAACACCGACACGCCAGGGGAAGCGTGATTTCAGAAATGCAACTCGCTTCTTCATCATCATCATCATCACCACCACCATCACCAGCAGCATCAGCAGCAGCGTCAGCGGCGTTTTGTCCACCGCCAAAGCAACCCATGCAAGGAGCATCACCTCTAGACCAACTGCCGCCAACCTACTCACACCAGGTCTAGACTATCCACGCTGCTCAACCCCACGCAGTGGTTGCCACCGCCCCCAATTCAACTCCTCGACTATTGGCTCATTTCGAAATCAGTAGTCAATTTCGAACTGTCGAAATTTCGAAAGCAAAAGCCACACGTGTGTGGTAGACTAGCGAACTGGCACAAAATTGGTCCAGACATTTGTTAACAGCTGGAGTGCATGAAATGGCCACTTTCGTGGGCATGAAACTCACACCGGAAGTGATTTTTGCGCTGTCATTAAGTTAAATTGAGCCCTTAGCATTAATGCGCGAAATGTGCAGTGTTTTTACAGTGTTCACAACACCGAATGTTTTTCACCATCGAGTTATAAGTGTTTAAAACACGGCTAATCTCCAAGCGCATGGTGATTGGTCAGAGTAACGAGGCGCGCTTTTCAACACTGCTGAACAAACCAATCGATCGAAATGGTTTAATTGATATAATCATTTCGAAATGTATTTATCGATTAAAAAAGCAATTTGATTAAAGTGGAAGATTATTTTAGAAGTATAAAATATCTAATTTTTTTCCCTAACAAGGTTGATTCATTTTGCTTTGCCTTTGAGTATGCGTTGGTTGGCTTTTCGTATTTTCGCGAAATCTAATTTATTGTGCTGTGGGTCAATTCGTGTTTAAAAAAATAAATTACCCTGAGTTTGCATTTTTCTGCTGCCTATCGCTTGAAGCCGGCTTTCAGAATAATTTTATGGCCATCAACAACGGAAACACATTACTGTCTAGGCCATTACGCGGCATTTTGAGTTCTGATTTCTAAATGCCCACACCAAAACACGCCTCGCACCAGTAATTTCGCTGGCCAGTAGATAGATTTTAACTTTTTATTCATGCAAAACAAATTTTCCGAGGCAATAAAAGCCATTACTACTTAAAAATAAGACTAAGTAGCAAGACTTGTGCAAACGATATCAAGTGCATTGGGGACTTTGTATGTAACCATATTTTGTACACTTGGATATTTTCGTAATTTGTGAATGTCAATCATACCTACGCTGATAACTCCGCTTGTCGCTGTCACGTGAGTTTAAATTTGACAGTTGGAATAAGTGTTTATGAATTAAATTTTTTTTTGACTCGCAATAAACTGAAATAAGTGAACAAATTCCACGATTAGATTTTTCGACAGTGTTGAGTTTGTTTTAAATCCGCCATAGGATACACGCGTAATTTGAAGTTACCGCAAAGCAAAAGCAGCAATTTAACAAAACCAAATTACATCTTGTTTTTCATATCAGGAAGCAAGATGTTTGGCATTTTGATGGCAGAAAATAAATCAAAACTGATAGGTTGGCGTTTGTATAACGAATTACATCAGTATTTAACCAGACAGCTGCGAAATGCTACACGTACATCTCCTGTTATTTTCTAATTAGCGTTGAATAAGTTTGCGTGTTATTAAAACAACGCGCTTAATCAGTTCTCTTAAGAGTAATTTTCATGGTTGACCGTTGGGGGGGAGGTTTTGGCCTGCTGGAATAACCTTTCCATGAAGAATAGCCAAATTTTCACACAAAACTAGATTTTCAAGCACTTCACGCTGCTAGTTACTTTCATGATGGCTGAATTTTTACTCAATACTAAATTATCTAGCGCTTGAAACTGATGCTACCTGAACTTTTGGTGCTTTCACAAAAACCTCTTTGAAATGACTTAAGTTTCAGTCGAAACTAAATTTATAAGCACACAGCATCTTCAGGAGTGACCTGTCTTTCGAAACGGCCAAATTATCCCACAAAACTAAATTTTTAAGCACTTCACGCCGCTAGCTACTTCTAAGGTGGCTGAATTTCCACTAAACACCAAATCGTCTAGCGTTTGAAGCTGATGCTTTCAGTTATTTTAGTGTATTTACAAATTACCCTTAGAATTGACTTATGTTTCACTCGCAACTAAATTTCAAGACTTAAAACACCATCAGGTGTGAACTGTTTTTCAAAATGACCGAATTTTCACACTGAACTAATTTTACATGAACTGTTTTGATCACAGGCACGCCAGACCACCCGCCTCGTCTACCTCTTTCGCCACCCCCTCCAAATGCCCCTCTCCGACGGTTTCAAAGAGCTGCAATGCTCGTCAGCAGGCTGCCGCCACGAACGATTGACCAAAAATCCTCGGAATTGGGCAAACGAGGCTTCGCCATTCGACGCCTGCCCTCGTGGTATCCCAGGATGGCGGTTCCCGAGTGCCACATTAACAGGACCCGCTTCAATCAGGCCACCCTCGCTGCGGACAGACACAGTTTCCGGGTAGGTACCGGTGTATAAGTAGTATGTGCCTCACCACAATCACCCACATCCCAGAAGCGTCCAATCAAACCACGCCGAAATAGGCAGACACACTTTCTTTCTTTAATTCCTGAGCATATGCTCGAATTGGGCGGTTATATGGTGGTTGAACAGGCTTAATAAATCACTCGGCCATAACTCCGGATGTGGGATGGTTTGGGTGGTAGTTTCTAACTCTTTGATGTTAAAAACCATACTCCAATGGGCGTTCTGATTGGTTGACGCATTAACAGGCCAATAAAACCCGATATGGGGGCTATTATTCCTTTCGGAAACCAAAATTAATGCATTCTTTTAATAAACATGAAGAAAAACTTGCTTTTATTTCATTTCAAGGCTACAATCTATGAGAAATTACCGCGAAATCCGTCACACCAAATGTTGTCCAATCAGAATAAACTATCACCAAAGCCTTTCCTGATTGGTGCATTACATCGATAGGTGCAGAAATGTTTGCGCGTATCCTTTCCACTGACGCAGTTAGCGTGCCATTCGTTTGTTTTTTTCTGTCTATATATAAATCTGCCGCCCACGCGTTAGTGATCTCATTTCTGTAATAATAACTTGGCAGAATACTCCCTGAAATGTTGGAATGCTTTGCTGTCATCATCGTCATTAACCAACGTGGCTTGTTTCAATCAATTGAATGGCATTTTCGCCGCCTTGGTCAGCTGATCGGTGCACATGGAATGCACATTTCAAAATTCAAATTTCTGGATTTTTTGACAGATAATTCAAAAACCAGCAACCCAAAAACGCTAGATCGTTATTTGCATTCTTCGCCCAATCCGGTCACCTCATGTTTATTCCCTCTGTTGGTTTGAACCTGCGAAAATTACTTGGGAAATGGAGTGAACACGGGGCTGGCAGAGTGTGAGCGGCAATTTAAAATGTCCGCACGCGCGCGTGCGCAAACGCGCGCTCATCAAGTGCGTGTGTGGCCCTTCCGCTCTCTAATTGGCTGGATGGGAGTGAAAAAAATCCATACGTACGCGCGCGCTCCTCATATAAATGCCGGTGCGTGGAACGCTATGGCTCAAGCCTAAGGGAGATTCAGGCAAACGGAAAGATTGCGAAAGACTGGGAATACACGGCCCTATCTGTGGGCGATCAACCTCACCCTCCACCGCCGCATCGTCGTCGTCGTCGCCTCCAGACGTCACCAACATGCCGACAGAGGAAGCTCTATGAAATTGCCCATCGTCTATTCGGTTGTTGTGTCTGTTGTACACGACGCAGGCTCAGCCCACCGAACTGCAGACAGGAGATGCACCAGATCGGGACAACCAGTGACCTTGAGGTCGCCCGGATCATGGACGGCCACCCACCGATCCACATCTACCAGAATCAGCTTCCGCCGCCAAATGACTGCCACTTCACAATCCGGAATCCGTACTTCAGACCGCCACAGTCCAGCTCACGGCGAAACTGGGACACAGTGGATCGGTGCATTTACCCTCATGACGATATTCAAGGTCACTTCGAGAGAGACAATATCGAAGACATCGTGGCGATGGTCTCTGGTAGAGAAACTGACATCCTAGACGACCTGGTGGACAGTTCGTCGGCATCCGAGGAGCGGGAGACGTGCATTGAGGGTCCGCGGAAGGTTGTTACGGTTCATCGGGCACCCTCTCTTGGCAGGAGGTACTGGAACCCTCAGCAGATCTCCGACGACGATGTGCCGATAAGCGCACTCATCTCCAAAAGTGGGTGGCTTAGTGACTTCGGCGACCAACGGAAACCGCCCCTTCAGCAAACTCCGGACAGCACAATTGCCTCCACAGAACACTCGACCGTGGAAACAGGATCAACGCATGATTTGGCCAATCACCTTCTTGTGCCGCCCACTAAACGTGATTTTGTCGTCACACAGGAAGGTGACAAACTCTTCGACTCTTCGAAGAAGAAATTTGCTGATCTTGAGTTTAAAAATGCTGAACCCCATTTCAGGGACAAAATACGTGAAGCGCATGAAGTCTGTCAAGAGGACATGCCGAAAAATGCATTTGAACCAACCCAGTTGAATTGCTATCAAGCGGAACCTTCCAAACTCGACGATGTAAAGTCTAGTCCACCGCCTTCTTCAGAATCATCCCAGGTTCCAGATGTCTGTTCGAAGAACAACGGAGGAAATGAGAAAGGCGCTGATGGTGTTGGTGATGACGCCGACGACAGCGACGACAATGAAGGAAGTGAAATTGGCTTCCTTGCCAATTCCCGTGAATCCAGCATCGCGATGGACGATGTGGGAGTTGAAAAAGAGGATGATACTGTCTCCACATCGACCACTTTGTCTTCCACATCATCGTGCTCCGTCAAGGACGGTGACGACGAAACAGAGGAGGTTGATGATGATGATGATGATGGAGACGAAGAGGAGATGACGCCAGATGAGGCCGTTGACATGGCAACGGCTGAGGCAGCAAGCGAGGACTTTGTCCAGACCGGAGAACGAGTGAACGAGGCAGATTTTCCATCGCCACAGACCCCTCCGTCGAACGATGAGGCCTCTTCTAGAGCAGAACCCGATCGAAACACCGCCTCCCCCATTCAAATTGACCCCCACATTCGCGCGCGGTGGAGGTGGGCAGTTCTGAGCCAGAATCGGGACCTCGTCTTCTCGAACGTAAGTTTCCGAAACCGGCGCTCGACAATCGACCAACGAAAGTTGGAGGCTACATAAAATTTAATTGGCTGGCGAAGTCATTTTCGTGAGGAACACTTAAGAGTACGCAGTTCAGCATTTTATAGATTTCCACGTAATCGGGATGTGCGTATTGATTATCGATTACTTAATCCCACGTTTGACAAACCATTATCAGTTAGTTATGAATTTACTCTGCGGTTTCAGGAGAACGCCGACGAAAAATCGCAAGTCTTTAATCGGTAAGCATGCTCGAAATTTTTAGCTAATCACATTTTGACAAATTTATTAGTCTTCTGAATGTTATTAATGGATCCAAACCTGTTTGTAGAGCAGCCAAAAGTTTTTATCAATCCATCGACAGTGCTCCCGAACGGAGATGGAACAAACGAACCCTCCCATTGGTTAGTGATCTGGTGAGTAGTAATCAGTGCTTTCTGATTGGTCAATTTAAAAGTTCCTACTAGGTTAATAGTTGGAATTGATTATGTGAATTCTGAGTCAAAATCTTGACCTTATGCCATTCTTAAAAGTGTGTTTATCACCATCAGTAGTACTTCATATAAATTGTTTTAAGTTGAACGTCCTACTACTCAAATCCTATCTCCATTTAAGTAGTCTTTGGCCTGTAGAAATTCTGCAGAAACTCTCATGTATTGTCTTTCTTGTCATTTTAGGTGCTACAAGTAAGTTGAACTTCTTTTAACGCCTTTATTTAATTTATTGATTATTTATTGGATTCAGATATTGGTTAAGTGATTGCATAATTTGGACAAAGTAGAAAATATTGCCCACATTTTCTCCTTTTCCTCCGCCCCGGAGAATAAATATGAGGTCAAGAATTGTGCCTCATTGACCTTTGACCCAGTCTGTTCTAAAAGTGGCACAGCATCAAAATATCAATTTTTTACCGCAATGTCGATGGTGTTATTTGCAGATCGCCGCACGAAGAATTAGGTTTTATTGGTTGGTTGCTTCAATTTTTACCGCAATGCTCTTTTAGACCATGTCTGCCCAGAAGCGGACTGCCAGTGTGCTTCCGGCAACCATTTGTCAAACCTCTACTCTCAGTGGTGCTGAGTTAGTAAGTAGTATGCTTATTTTTCTTTAGATTTTTATTAACTTCATGTCCAAAACATCCTCAAACGCAGGGGACGATCAGTGTTTTGAAATGCATAAATTCAAACAAACCACGATTGGCAAAGAATTCTCAATTAGAATAATTATTTTTTTACTAACGGAAGCACAAAAATCGCCACTAAGAATAACTGTGAGAGTATCCCAAGGAGCAGGCAGAGAAATAAATAAATGCGTTCAATCATGATTCAACTTAATTGGCTGGAGGTATTTGCACTCCCCGACCAATCAAAATGCACAGGGCACGAAATGGGGCATTTCGATTTGCTCTTAGAAACTCCTGGTGTACAGAAAGACACTCAGCGCCCTAGCCTATCCGATCTCGGGTAACACACCGCACAACTTCCAAGTATTCAACGCCACCGGTCCGACCTACTGCTACGAATGTGAAGGTCTGCTGTGGGGAGTGGCCAGACAGGGTCTTCGATGCTCTGAGTGCGGTGTCAAATGTCACGAGAAGTGCAAACGCCTCCTTAATGCAGACTGCCTTCAGCGTGAGTTTGTGTTTTAGCCAATCAGGTTTTGCTCTGGCAAATCCTAGCCAATCAACAGCCTCCTACACTACTCAATCCACCTACATTCATGAGGCTCTTGAAAATTATCGATTTTCGATTTCTATTCAGTATTTTTGTTTTTAAGCCGTCTGGATTGTTTTAAACAGGAGCCAAAGGCATTTAAACTTGCCAAAATTATTGATTTTAAATTCAAAGCCAGCGGGCACGGCTGGATACCTAATTTTATTGGTTAACTTCGTTTATTGATTTGGAAATGCCAAGTTTGCAGAGCAAGTAGGGCTAAATGTTCGTGAGGTCACAGGTGCACGTTCAACGTCTTGCCTTTAATTGCTGCTTTAAGTCGAAAAGTTTATGTGATTTGAGATTTTTCAAAAAAATCAAAATTCATCAATTTAAGCAAGTTTTTTTCAAGATCACACAACTTTCGCGAGACAAAACCATAAATTTTAAGATTTGCCGTGTAAGTCGTTAGCTCAGGATTTTGTTACAAATTTAATCCCTCACAGATTAGGGATTAATTCGAAATTTCGGAGTAATGCGAACCGTAGACTGTTTTAAAACAGGGATTTTAAAGTTAACTGGCGAATTTTGGCAACAATAAATGCTGTAGAAGCTTGCAAATTAGTTTGCAAGGATGAACTAACGCAGAATTTTGTTCAGGAAGTATCTGCAATGGTCTACCTTTCTGTTGAAGGTTCCGCAGAAAAATCGTCTCGCCACGGCGCCGACGACAAGGCGCAAGCCGCCATGAATTCGATGCGTTCGCTCATCCAACGACGCCTTGCTGAACGTCCCGACATCTTCACGGCCATCTTCAACATCTTCGCCATCGATCCACCAGCCGCGGAGTCACGTGACGAGCGTCTGAAAGAGGCCGAACGAAGCATTCTCTCCGGAGCGAGTCAGTGGTCTGCCAAACTCGCCATTACAGGTGCTCTGCCTCACTAAAGCACATTGTCTTAGTACATATTATTTAAACAATGTCCACACAATGAAGTGAGTCAGATTTTTGACCAAAAAAGCCGCAAAATTATCTCCAGAACCAATGAATTTGGCGATTTTTTTGTTGAAATTGGTGTGGAGCCATGAGCGCTTAATTTTTGCTCACGTTTTTCTTCACCAAAGTGAAATCTGCTCAAGGCCTGATTGGAAAAGACAAGAGTGGACGCAGTGATCCCTACGTGACGGTTCAGGTTGGCAAAGTTAGAAGACGCACCAAAACCGTGCCGCAAGAACTCAATCCAACTTGGGACGAAAAATTCTATTTGTGAGTCAAAAAATTTCTCACAAAAGACAACACATATTCCTTTTTTGAATTTTCTGCCCCGCATGAAATAAATCAGTTTGAAAATAATCGATTTTTTGCCCCAGTCAAGAGAGCCAATCAGGAGAGATAGACTTTTATCCTAATCTGATTGGTTGGCAACCTCTTAGTTGGATGGCTGGTCATGTTGGGATGGAATAAGTGCGCGCTGATGGTTAACGCCCACGGCTAATCACCTTAATCTTAAAGAGCAAATCTTTTGAAGTATTATTACCAAAGACATGCGACATTCATTAAAACAACTCAACTTTATTGTGAAAAATTCTTCTTTGTTTATTTTTTTGTTAGTGAATGCCACAACGCCTCAGATCGGATCAAAGTGAGAATATGGTAAGGGATTGCAGTTAGTTTATACTCCAAACCAAAATGTGATGCGAATCTAACCAATCAGAAGTCAGTTTATTCAATCTTCAAAAATCTGCTTCAGTCCACCAATCAGAATAGGTGCAATCTTGAATTTTCCATTGAGACACTTTGCCCAACTGAGTATGTAGATATATATTTACCAATAATGTTGTGGTAGATAGCAAAATAATAGCTTATCGATTTTCGATATTACATGTGTTAAAAAAGGCATTGAGCATATTTACTAAGCATCAATTTCATGCGATTTAAACAAATAAACACGTTATAATACACAGGGACGAGGACAATGATTTGAAGTCGAAAATTCGCCAAAAATTCACCCGGGAATCAGATGATTTTTTGGGTCAAGCGATCATTGAGGTACGAACGCTTGGCGGCGAGATGGATTTGTGGTACAACCTCGGTAAGTACGACATCAAGTTGTCATAATCGGTTAAGATTGAACCACAGATTTCGTAAGTACCTTCTTATTATGCATGTCGAGTAAGTGGGAGGTGAAAATTTGTTTGAATTTGCACGATCGATATCCCAAATGCGGCCACGTTTAAAACCGTAGACGAGTTCAATTTGCACCAATCAAATTGCTGGAACAGGTAGATCGATGTTGATTTTGGCAAAATGGACAGCTTACTTTTGTCAATAACTTAGTCCCATCATTTTGCAGAAAAGCGGACTGACAAATCAGCGGTATCTGGTGCCATCCGACTGAACATTTCGATCGAGGTTAAGGGTGAAGAGAATTCGGCGCCTTACCACATTCAGTACACGTGTCTTCACGAGGCAAGTACACGAATTTAAACAAGTTTTTTTACACGAACTTAAACAAACCCGGTTGATATTGATCCAATCAAATTGACAGTTATGAACTCTCAAATTATTTTTCGATCGAGTAGCTGGCTTAGAGCACGAAAACCCCGTAAAACGATAGCTGGACTGTGACTCATCCCAAGTCATCAATCTGATTGGTCAACCTACACTACGTTCTGATTGGTCAGCTTAGTTGGGCACAGAAACCAATCAAATTACAGGCATTATCGATTATAATTCCTTTCAATTTCACTACAGTGCATATTCAACTATCTATGTGAAAAGAATCCGCCAGTTTATCTTCCTAACCAAGCACCGAAACAACGATCGATTACCGTGAGTTTCTTTTGTGTGTGTGTGTGTGTGTGTGTGGCAAGTACACACGTTAAAGTGCATTTTGTGAGTCGTTTTGCATTATTTTAGGAAGAACTGTGGAAGGTATTCTTCGATCCCCTGGGACAGGAGATAAGCGATGAATTCGCCATGCGTTACGGCATTGAAAGCATCTTCCAAGCAATGACGTACGCGTACTTTTATTGGCTGTGGCAAGGCCAAAATGCTGCTTTCGTTTAGCCAATCACAGTAGAGCTGATTGATTAATTTTTAGTCACTTTGCGTGCCTTACTACCAAGTACCATTGTGTCGGAGTGCCTGCACAATTGTCGACGTTACTCGCCAATATCAACGCCTTCTACGCACACACCAGTTCCAACAACAGCCAAACCGCATCCGAACGATTCGCCGCAAGCAACTTTGGGGTATTTAAGTAGTATCTGTATTTTGAAATGCATTTTGTCTCGTGTAATTGTACACGCAGCAACGAACCTCCTGAAAACTCTAAGAAATTCTATATTGGAATTTGTAACCAATCAAATTTAAGCAATTAGCTGTTGTTTGAACTGATACAAATGTAGCTGTTACTGACTGAGCTGTCATTGGTTGAAACTCGAGTTTGTTGCTAATTACATTTTCTAACTGTAATTAGATTTGGCGGTCATGTGGAATATAAAAAATGTGTGTAAATCGCTTTTAGAGGGAAAAATTCGTGAAGATTCTGGACAACCTTCACAATGCGCTGCGAATCGATCTCTCCAAGTACAGAGTAAGTTCTCAATTAATTCCCCCCTAAATTAGCCTAATGCCTCACAACACTGTTTTGTTTGAGTTGGAAACATTGCAACCGCGCCCGCGCTAATTCAATTTAAAACTACGCGCCATTACAAAAAACAGTTTGGCTGTATTCAAATCGAGTGGTTTTGTTTAACGCGGCAAACTTGAGAGGGCAGAACGCGCGATAATTGAGTAGCAGTCAGACCAGGTTAAGGCTTGACTGCTTTGAAAACACTTGAAAAAGAAATGCTTTTGCAAATTCACCTTGTTATTTGTCCACCAAATATCGTCCGTTTTCCCCACATTTTTAAACCAGTTTTTGTGCTCAATCATTGCAAAATTCAGCTGCGTGGGTTTTCACAACAAAAAAAGATACGATGTGGTCTCGTTGCACGCAAGTAAAATTTTCAAATCGGAACTTTTTCCGAGATTTCGCAGCGTTTAGACGCATTAAAACACCAAAAGTGTTCAAGTGTGTTCACAAAATATTTTTGATTTTTCCCATAATTGTCTGCAGTGATTTGCAATGGGCACGCTATCGTAAAGATCACGGACAATATTTGCTAAGGTCAGATGATTGCTCAGGACTCAATCAATGACGCGCGTGATTTCAAGGTCGCTCAGGAATCGAACCTCGTGATTGGCTGCTTGTGTGTGTGTTTAAAATTACCGAATACTTCGGTGCACAAATTAAATCGATTTTGGAGGGTCACGTAAAAGAACTAACTTTACTTTTTTAAGTGAGGACTAATTTAGCTTCAAAGTGCAGTCCTTAAAGTACATGTCTCAGCAGAGATAGACTGGTGGCTAATTATAGATCAGCAAAGTGGATCATGACTGGAAAAATTTGCCCTCGTAACAGCTGCATTGTTACACGCATGGTTTTTATCGCTATTACTGCGCGACTATAAACGAACCCTTTTAAACTGTACAGTTTTTTTACATTTCTAGACAGTCTTTCCGGCATCTCAAACCGAGCGTCTAGCTGACATGAAGTCTACAGTTGACCTTCTTACAAGCATCACGTTCTTCCGGTTAAAGGTATGCGTCTTAGTCAATTTCTTATTTGCGTTTCACCACGTGGTGCACGAATGATGACTTTCAAAAATTTTTACCAAAATTAACGACTTTTTTCCTAAACTGGTTTTACGCCAGCTGTAACGAATGCACGCCAGAATTACTTTGGATGAGAATAGACTACGAAAAAAGAAATAAGTCAATATACTTTGGAAAATTTTGAAAACTTCGCCTTAGTTTAATCTCTAATTTAATCGATAAACACTATTCAAATGCATCGACTCAATGATACCTTTTCCATCGATTGGTTTGTTCAGCAGTTTTGAATAGCGCGCCCCGTTACTCTGACCAATCACCATGCGCTTGGAGATTAGCCGTGTTTTAAACACTTATAACTCGATGGTGAAAAACATTCGG